TGTAAACAGGAATATCATGACCAAACAACAATCACATAAAAATACATCTCATGTTAATAACATATCACCTTAATACAATCTGGACAAGTTCACACACATATCGACTGAACATTGCCAGTACAAAAACATCATACAATCATAGCCAACAAACTAATGCAGGCATGGCATGGAATACAATGTACCAGTCTAAAACAGTAACAATACATGAAACACATTTCAAACACAAGTGCAACAACTTTCAAGCATAGGTCATATTGACAGAACATAATAATTGGAAAACATTGACTGGTTTGACAAGATTCTCAATTCCTGTAAAAAGCAAATGTAAAATACCTCAGCATCTAAATACAACCAATTAAATTTCTTTGATAACCATCTGTCATTCATACATACATACATCAAGTATATTTCACTACAAAGAGACCTAGACAAACTCTGTGAATGGTCTAGTTTATGGCAACTTAGTTTCAATGTAAAAAAGTGTACCATCCTCCATGTGCGTAAATCACGGAGATTGCCACAATTCATGTACCAAATGTTTTCAGAACCCCTAGAGGTCAGCTCCCAGCATCCCTACCTCGGGATCATCTTGTCACACGACCTAAAGTGGAAGCCACACGTTGACAGTATCACCGCCAAGGCGAACAGCACACTAGGATTCCTGAAGAGAAACATAAGGGGGGCAAACAAGGAGGTTCGGAAAAGGGCATATACTACTTTAGTCAGACCAAAATTGGAGTATTCTTCAGCTGTCTGGGACCCACAGGTACGCAATAACGCACAATCAAACACATTGATAGCGAAGTTGGAATCTGTACAGCGACGGGCAGTTAGGTTTGTATGTGGGGACTACAGGTACTCATCTAGTGTAACACAACTCCGAACATCACTTGGCCTTCCCACACTGCAGCAGCGCAGAAAACAAGCACGCTTAACACTTATGTACAAGTCCGTCCACCAGCTGGCAGCAGTACCCATACACGACTACTTGACACTGAACACAAATACAACTAGAGGTCATCCCTTCCGCTTTATTACTCTTGCAACAAAGACAGAGACATTTAGAACTAGCTACTTCCCTAGAACAACCATAGAGTGGAATAACCTCCCGTCTCAAGTAGTTACTGCCAAGTCACTTGATTTGTTTAAACGGGGGCTGGCCCAACACATGGGCCTCCCCCACCCCCATATGTAAATATTATGTACACTTAGTGTGGCCAACACATCATTTTCCTTGTTATATTTTCGATTGCACAAGTTTTGTTAAGTTATTGAGCACGGTTGCACCACCACCACCCGCCACACTGAGGCGGGCACCTGGACGTGATGTCCCTTGCGGGATTTTGTCCAGTACTGTATAAGATAAGAAGAAGATAAGTATCCATACAATGATTTTACCCAAAGTCATACATGTTTTGTACATCCAATCAAAATTGTCAGAACATACATTGTATATAAAACACGTGGTCAAGCACTCAGACATTCTCTTATTGAAGAAATATTCACAGTAACATTTACTGCAGGACAGAAATCCAATTTTGGTAAGAAGCAAATTAAAAATTTTACGAAAGATAATATAGTAGAATGCCAGGAATATTAATTTGATAAGAAAGGTTATATCAAGTTGGACGGGAAGCATAAGTAAAAGTCTTTCTTCTCCTTTACTTTAAAGGATCCTGTAATCATCTATTATGCAAATCAATCTAGTTCAGGCGCGCCCTCGCACATGCCACGCCACCATGCTTAAAGACACGGTCATATTTCTGTGGTGTTACGGCGTCTTTCCACACCAGACCTTCCAAAAATGGTCACAAGAATACAGAGAACAAAGTTACGTACTACTCACCACATAAAACAGACGTTTGTCGTCTTAAAGAGGCGAAGTTTTAGCAGAAGTTTCTCCCGCTCCATGTGCAGCCGCCATCTTGGAACTTCTGAGTTCGTGTGGCCTCATGGGTAGTTCCCACCTGTTAGTCCTCAGCTGATAATTTGAATAAAGATAATGCAATCATTTCTCGGTGGAAGCGCACATTTTGTCTTTTTTCTTGCGTTTTTGACGTTTAAACAGAAACTGTGACGTCCCAATGGGTTGAACATTGATGCCAACACTCTCATGGATGGGGAAAAGAAGGACATCTGTCATCTGTCCTACCAGACCGAAGAGACTACTCTACTCTACTCTAACTCTAAAAATGTAACAGATAACCAGTTAACAATTAGTAGTGCAATGTCTGTCCTTGGTGCTGGACGTCATCCACACACATTAATAGCCAAACATTCCTGTTCCTGAACAAATAACCAAAAAGTCTTGTCCCTGGTCACCATAGTTAGAAAGTGCAATGTCTGTCCTTGGTGCTGAACGCCATCCACACACATTAATAGCCAAACATTCCTGTTCCTGAACAAATAACCAAAAAGACAAGCACCACGCATGCAGGTCAGACAAACCTATAATTAATTTATGTCTTTTATCCTAAGTAAGGCCATGTTGATTTGATTATATGGATGACATCCGCGCGCGCATGAATTTTTGGCCGTTTCCAAAAAAAAAAAGAAGTTTTCAACCATACTGTAAATCGTACAAAACAGTAGCAAAATTTGCAAAAATATACCGTAAGTTACAAAAAAAATAAATAAAAACTATACCAATGTCGTAGAATGCCAAAATCAAACGAAAAAAGACGAAATTGTAAAGAAATGAACTTGAGGACTAGATAATTCGCCAAACCATATTCTGTCCCTTTTGTTCAACCCTCATGACCACGTAGATTTCATAATGAAAACTTTTTTTTTGCAAAACTTTTTTTTTTATTCACACGTGCGCATCAGTTTTGGGGTTCCCTTAGGATGTCATCCATATAATCAAATAAAAAAAAATGGCCTAAATGTACTAAATGTAGTTGTTTTGCTCATCATTCAACTTTATAGATTAAGAAGGGACAGAACCTTAGTAATTATCTAACAAATGATCTCTTTTTGACACATTTGTCTTAAATATTGAGGAAGGAACAGTTTTATCTTCTAGCTAGTAGGTGACATGAAGAAGATATTTCTTAATTCTCTAAAGTTTATTTCAATAGATCAACGATAATAAAAATGAGACAGGCATGTGAAACGGCCTGCCTTCTGGTTCTTATTTTACAAAAAATTGAAATTTGAATGTGATAAATTTGAAGGAAATGTACACCTTAAAAGTTCTATCGGTAAATGCAAATAATAGAGTAGATGTATAACCTAATATTCTATTGCATATTTTGCAAAACCCCTTTGCAAGCCTTTCACCTTTTCCCCATTTGCAAAAAGACCAAACTTTGTCAATCTGATGGTCTCCTTTGTGACTAAGGTCATGTTGATTTGATTACATGGATGACATCTTCTGTAAACCCCAAAACTGATGCGAGCGTGCAAATAAAAAGACAGCTTTGCCAAAAAAAAAATTGCTTTCATCAAATCTACACGGTCATAAAGGTTGAACAAATGACAATGTATGGTATAGCAAATATTCTACTTTTCAAAAATTTATTTCTTTACATTTTCTTTACATCTTTTTTGTTTGATTTTGGCATTCTATGACATTGGTATTGTTTTCCAATCTTCTTTTTTTTGCAATGTACAGTACTTATTTTGCAACTGTTTTGTTATCATTACATCATTATTATTATGTACACTACACTTGGTGGTTTAAAAACCGCAGAAAATCGATGCGTGTGTGGATGTCATCCATATAATCAAATCAACATGGCCTTACGTACATGTACTTTTCTTAGTATGGCGAGAGTGATACTGCAGTTAGGCTCTAATAGGGGATGTAGTCTCGAATTGTAAAAGTTACAAAAAAGGAGGCTTTAAGCCAGTGAAGTTTAAAGCTACAATCTCTGTTTGCAAGTGCAACTGACACAGTTCCAAAGCTCAACTTCTTCAAGAATTATTTCGTATCTTGCATCACTGATCAGTAGTGGTCATTATTCAAGATCATGAAAATAAATGTTCCTCACTGACTACAAAGGAAGAGGCAAACTGCATGTTTATAGACTCTAAAATCAATGGACTTTATTACCTTTTCTCAGTGTTATTTGAAAACATTGATATAATTCATACTGTTGTATTTTGACAGATATTCTTGAAATGCCATCCATTCATTCACACCTTACCATACCATACCTTAGGCTTCATTGTATCTACAGGTGTACAAAAGCCCCAATCTGCACCAGAGATGCATGGTGTAGTAGAGATGTTGATGTGCCATTGAGCATGTATGTTCTCAACTGTAGTCACAAATTAATGGGCCTAAATTCTCCTCCTAGCTCTGATTGGCGGATGTTTTTCCGCCAATGAGATATAGGAGGTTACCGCGTAATTTTATCTTTCAAACAACTTTGTTAGCATTAACATTTTAATGTCTTGGGGTGGTGGGACTACGGCGCACAGATATGTCAACTTTATCAAATATTTAAATGTTATTGTACATTTTTTGTTGTGTGGCGCTGTTAATATAAGTTGTTAACTTGAGTGCAGCGTCACACCGTCCTTGTTATATTTTCATGTTTGATGGTACTGTAAATTGATTTTTTAAAAACTTTGTTAGGACTTGATTTTGCAGGAGGGAAAGGTAGTTGTTTATGTTGTTTTATAACATATACATGTAACACAAAAGTGTACTAGTATACTGTTTCCAGTGTTATGAGTTCATGATGCAAAAACCGTGAACAAAAACTACCACAAACATCTCACAATTTACACTCCAGTACTTCGACCAGATTCTAACTTGAAATTCATTAAAAAAAACTATCCCATACCCTAGTTGTTTGGAATTTTTACACCATATTACACAGTGGTAGGTTGGATAACATAGAAGTTAAGTAAAACCTACCATAGTTTGTAACTGCAGTTGTGGACACAAATACATGTACATGGCACACCACACATCTCAAGAAGAGTAATCTTTCCCACTTGCATACATTTCATGCCCTTCTACTTTGCACATATCATACAACACTTACAATTCACAACAATTTATTGAACATAAAAACTCACACATTCCTGCAATTGTACAAATCTGCTCGATCTTTACCCAACTTTCAGGGTAAATTCAATCCATCTAAGAATGATCTATAGAAAAAGCATATTCTGCCCCCCTCCCCCTTTTCTTCTGCCCTGGTAGACTGTTTACAATAGATGTAGAGGTGTACATATATAAGGGGAGAATATTTGTAGAGATATCCCTACTAAACATTGGTAGAGATTACTTCATATTAATAAAGAACCTTTACTTTAAGCTATTTATGTCACAATTTTCTAGGAAATACACTGAGTGAGTTGTTCTCATTCATTTTGTGACCAAAATTGCAACACAACCTTTTTCTAACAATGTATCTGTACCTACACTGTTGCTGTACATGGTTAAAATCACTGGCCTGGGGGTTTCCAGGAATTTTTCAGAACCCCTATACTCGATAGGTCAACATCGCAGTACATATAACTGATCAGTTTGACAAATTGGGCTACAATAGGGTTGAAAGTGAAAGATAAAACTGCCATTGTATTTCAACAGAAGAGAAAGACCTGGAAGCTGCAATGTCTGGACATTCTTGTTTTTTTTTTTACTAAGTAGCAACAAAAAAGGCTTATTTTGGTAACCTGGAATTTTTGTTCTGGACTTTCAATCCCTTTACAACTTGATTCATATTAGAACATAACTTCACTGTCGAATTTCATTCCCTTGCAATAAGTTTTGCAATTTCACAACCACTTCAAACCTGTTTCAAAGACATATTCAATTTAGAACTCCATGGCCATTGGCTCTCTTCAAAAGAAAAATCTTCTAATAGGTTTCAAACTTAGAATCCTTTAAAATCTAAAAATTCCAGACATTTTCCAAGAGCTTCCAGGGTCAAACATAAAACTTGCTGGGCAGATTTCAGTAACGGACCCAATTCAGCAATAATACAACACTTTGTTTGTTTGTGGAACACTTTTCATTCCATCCAGGTCCAAAGAAACATTTTGTCTGCTAACTCGGCATAAAAAAGTAGTTCCCTGTTTCTAAGATGTTCCTGAATCTACCATACGTTTGTAGCATATTGTACATTGCCCCCTAAGTGCAATATTAAACATTGTGTTAACTGGCTAAGCTGGACGTGGATCAAGGCCTTCATTTTTGCAACACTTCATATCCATTAACTACATCTACATGTTAATGTGTTTTCTGTCAGAAATATTTGTGGCAACCAGAAGAGCTTTTCTATCATTGTGGAGTAATTGTCGGCTATTGTTTACTACGTCCAATTATACTTATAATTGTACATAGTGCAGTATACTAGTACGTGTAATATACTAGTGCAATATACTAGTACATGTACAACATGTCAACATGTAGTAAGTTTGTTAGGGAGGTCAAAGGTGACAAGTCAAAGGTCGACCCCATGTTGAGCTGTGGTCTTCTCAAGGTGACAAAGATGGTGACTGCCTTCCATCCAGTGGCTCCCTCTACCAGGTTTACATCAAACTGCAGCAGGTTACATGTGGCTGTGGACTTCAGTGTAGGTTCAATCAACACCCTGTGTACAGTGTGGACTCAGCAGTTCCCAATAATCCTGGAAAACAGAAGATGTGAAAACAGAGGAATAAAATCTATAAATCATAAATAATACACTGTAAATTCATATTTGTTTTATTTCTCAGTAGGATGGAAAGGGACATTTTTGTAGAAACCCACCTTTAAAATCATACATACACTTTAATAGTCTGTCTTTTGCCAGAGACTGCCAAGTTCTTTCAACTCATTAACTTATATGGTCACACAAGCCTCTTTTGTTCTCAAAAAAATTAAATAGAAACCCACCTTTAAAATCATACATACACTTTAATAGTCTGTCTTTTGCCAGAAACTGCCAAGTTGTTTCAACTCATTAACTTATATGGTCACACAAGCCTCTTTTGTTCTCAAAAAAATTAAATAGAAACCCACCTTTAAAATCATACAAGCACCTTGTCCATGAAGTCCATAAAGCGGCGAGCGTATTGTTTGGGCTTCACCGTGGAAATCTCACTAGCTGCCTGGAAAATACAACATGGTCATGTTTTCAAACGTTTCATCAGTAACCACACACAGTTTAGCACCTTTGTAGATACCATGTTTATTTTGATTGTGCATTACTGCTGAAGTTTGTAGATAAAATTCATGATCTGGACAAAAAGGAAGTCAAAATAAAGACACCATCAAACTCTTATCTGCTCTCTTAGTATCGTAAATTCATTAATTTTTGCAGGTACTATTTTTTTGTTTGCAGATTTGTCGTCAAGTTTGCAGTTGAAACAATTCTGTAGTACAGTAGTAATATTAATACATTGGAAATGCATCTTGTATTTAAATACTATGGAGCCAATTTTTGTAAATACCAATAAGTTTCAGACTGATATGTCTGCCAGTTGTGTAATAAAGATCTAATCCGAATTAAAATAGCACGAACATTTCCAGATGTAACATACATGTTGATATACTTACTCCATGTTTAACTGTCTTGGCTGCGTGCGCTGCTCTCTTTTTGGCATCGTAGGACGTAAGAATGTCGATCAGACCCATAAAGTAGATCTCCTTCTTGGGCGCATCTGTCAATAATGTAGAGGCATTGTTTATGAAGATTCTAAATCTGTACAGCTATTACTCAACTCACAGTAAAGAAGTTTTGATCCAATATTTTTGAAATTTGGTGCTGCATCTGTATCTACTATTCTTACTACTTGTAAAGAAGTTCTGTTTCCGAATTGTGCAAGCTTTGCAGGCTTAAAAAGTCTGCTAGAGCTAGCTATTACATCAAACTTTGTTTTTCGAAGCTTTGCAAAAAAGGAACAGTACATGATCTTAGAGTATTCACACAAAATCACATTTCTATTGTATTAAATGTGCCCATTCAGTAATGTAGACAAACTAAACAAATGCATTACAAAGGTATACAGCGGATGTATTATATGTATACATAGGTACATTTGTACATGCACCTTTGTAGTGAATACACATAGTATATACACTATACATGTAGTGGGGATGTGGGTTTGAAACTTACCGTTTGCACTTTTGATTGCGAAAACCTCCCTCTCCTCCACCTCGTAGCCCTCGAAGTCCTTGATCCGCGGGCTGTCGGGGGGTGTGGCACACTGTCCGCCCGAGTCCTCCCCGTCCTCGTCGTCCCCGCTCTGGTTCTCCATCTCCATGTCCTCTTGTTCCGCCCGCTCAACATCATGCACCCCCAGCAACAGGCTGTAGTCCATGAGGTTAAGGGTCACAAGAAACTGTGGGGGTAAGGGCGAAAGGTTAAAGGTAAGGTGAGCAACAGGCCCATAGTCTGTGAGGTTACACTAAGGGTCACATGAAACTGTGGAGGGTAAAGGGCAGAGGTTAAAGGTAAGGTGAGCAACAGGCTGTAGTCCATGAGGTTAAAGGTCACAAGAAGCTGTGGCGGGTAAAGGGCAAAGGTTAAAGTTGAGGTGAAGGGTCACCTTAACCAGTAAGGATGTTCGACATGCAAAACTTACTTGAAAGCAGACAAAGGTTTCCCATGTATGAAAGGTTTAGGTCATGCTAACAGCAGAATACACCAAGCAAAAGGAAGATTTTATTTCTGACAACAAAACAGAGAGTTTGACTTACATCCGAGTCTCGCTTCAGGATCCCAAGTAGCCTCTCTTTCTGTGTCTCCCCAATTTTAAGTGTTTCTCTCTCCTTTACAAAGTCATTGTCTTTGTACGTGGGCAATTCTTTTGCCTATGGAAAAACACAACAAAAGTTAATGTCCCTGATATTGGCAACTCTTTTATGTAACTTATGCAGTCAACTGTAGGCACATATTTAGTTTATTGTAAAGTGCAAAACTCTAATAACTGTAAAAGTGTAAATAATGCAAAACATTTGTCAGTTTTCATTATTTTCTAATGATAAAAGTAAAAAAGTGAGAAAAAGTATGTAATACACTTTCCAGTACTATTCTTACAAAGGACAACTTGTATTGTAATCATCTAAAAAAATCCATGGCTAAACAACAAAACGACAAAGAGGAAAATATCTCAGTCCGCGTCCTGGGGTGTCGACCAAAAACTACAGACTCACCTTTTCTTTATCGCTGGCTTGTCTGTCTACTGTAGAGCCCTGTGAATAACAAAGTAGATATGAGGAAAGAATGTTTAGTACACCACTATTGTCTGATGGTTGCAAAAGATTTAAAAAATTCAGAAAAATCAGAAAATTCAGTGTCAAGCGAAGAAGGGAAACGGTTTTCTGCTGACCTTCAAGTCATACTTGATGTGGACGTTGAGTTTGTGGCTGAAAATGTTGGCCATGACGACGAGATACGTCTCTGTGCCCTCTACTGTCAGTCTGTACATGCCCAGGTAGTGGGGCAGTAGAGTTTCACTGTGGTTTTCCACAATATGCTGGAATAAAAACAAGAACAAAATTACACATACATGTAGAGTAAGCAAGATGTTAACTGTGTGAGAAATTATTAACACTAACAGGTCAATTCATTGCCTGTGTCCCACGTGTATTGCAATGTTGCAATTTCAACCAATCAAGTCAAATAATAATTTATTGTGTGGTGGGTTCTCCTAAAATACTGCACCTAACTTGCACTGGTCCATGTACCAGGTTTATATAGAAATGTAGCTGTACATGCATGTGGATTTTTATTTGCTGCATTGACTGTTACCACCTATGAAGTATAAAAGAAATACTGGCAATGGTTTTTGAACAGTTTCTATTATGTTACATGCTTCCTAAAGCCTGAGTGGTGTATGTATTTTAACTTGTGGTTCAGGTAATTTTCAATGTTGCCTGTACAGGTACTGTAAGTCTTTATTTTTCACGTACTTTTATGTTCACGGTTTTCACGGTCACTTCTGTACTGGAAACTTATCATTACCCCAAGCAAATAAATCAGCAACTTCTGTATAGTGTGCTTTTTTCTGCACCTGTCACCTCGTGAACATATAGTTCCTGTAAATACCTTCATTCTTCTGACAGTGAAATTTTGCTACAGTGAACATGAAGTGAATTGAAGCATGCAGCAAAAAAGAATTTCAAGCCCTGCACCGTATCATCTTCTCAAGAGCCCACCTGATGATACTGCTTGGGAAGATGGTGCATCTGTGCTACTTCTTCACTTTCTATCGTCTTGATGACGTATTTTTTGTCGTAGGACATGAGAAATCTGGCGCCACTTCTACCCGGGGAGTCCGTGTTCACGGGCTGCGATCTAGTCAACGAATTCTGAAAAGAGCAAACGGGAAAAATCAACATTGGTAGGCTGTCCAAGCCTTTCCAATGGAATCAAGAAAACACAGGTAGTAGACTATAATATTATCACATTCATACCTACTCCAAAAAGAGCTTTATAAATGTCTTAATAAAAATGCCTAGGCCTAGAAAAAAATGTTGTGTTTCGTGTTTCAGTATTGAAAAAAATAAGGGTCCATAGGAAGGGATTATCTTATTCTTTTAGACTATGGCGATCTCTAGTGATCCAACTTATACAATACAGTTTAACAAAGTAAAACTTGCATGAGGACACTTTCATTTTCAATGCCAATGTTGCAAAACCGAATGTACAATGTTTCATCACTCAGGTGTCAGATCATGGAGCTAGAAAAGGTCAATTAGCTAAAAAAATTTATGTCCCTTGTAGGGGTCCAGCCAAGAAAAAGGCAAGGGTTGGCAGTTTTTTTCTAGGGTCGGTCGGGAAACGGGACACAACTTTTTTTTCATAGGCTTTGCTACTATTCAAAGTCCAAACATTTTTGTGTCAATATGTCAAATAATATTTAAATCAATCAAACAATCAATCAATCAACCAATCAATCAAATGGTTTATTTATTTTTCATGCATACTAAAAGTAACTGGTGGTAAGGTTTATTGGTACATGTGTATGAAGCTAAAAGTGTTAGAAGAAACACCACAAAATTCTTACCATGTAGTCAACATCATCTATGTTGAATCTCTCTCGTAGATTCTTGAAGACCAGAGGGCAGTATTCTTTCACTTTAAAATGGCTCGGCAAGTTTTCTCTGAAATAACAGAAGAAAAAGAAACAGTGAACATCACATTACAATCAGATTACATTGCTATTTGCTGGCCAGCATCACACAATCTCTGTCAGAAGCTGATTGGGCCTCATCCCCAAGAGTTTTAAGCCATATACTTGTACATGGACAGCACGTCGGCAGAACGTACTGCACCTGCGCGAAACCCGTAATGCATTGTACATAGCATTTCAGCAGAATGTCTCATATAAGGTTGTATTCGCTCATATAAGGTTAGCATTTCGACAGTAGTTTCCAAATGTTGTGTCGGAAAGAATATCCTCTGCAACAGGCAAAATTCTGATGCAATGTTGACCAAAAACCCAACGAAAAACGCGAAAATACGGGGTTCTGCGCAGGCGCAGTACGTTCTGCCGACGTGCTTACATGGACCATTCCCAATCCCTGAACTACCAATAGGAGGTTAGGATTATTCATCACTAGGAAAATCAGTCCAATAGGAGCTCCGGATTCTCTGTCACTATGGAAACCAGTCATCACAGTCCATAATACCATGGTAACAGAGTAAAGAGACTCTTTTTACACAACCAAGTGTTTTATTCACAGTTTCGGTGACCATCTGTCACCTTCCTCAGGGCAATTCTGACTGGTTCACATTGCACTGCAGCACAGGTGCCACTGCTATAGATGCATTCCTTTTAACCTCTTTACTCAGTAACTTACCAACCTGATGAAACTATTCACGGACCATGGTAACACACAGTTCCCAGTCTGACAATAATTGGTCCATGTTAGGACATATGCATAAATCAACAAGTTTCAAACATTACAGATTCTCCTGACTTAAAGGTTTTGGTCATCAAGCTTCTAGGGGCCTGAGTAGTACAAGGGTTGCTAGAATCATGATGTATTATCAGGTTAGCTATTTGCTTTTTTCTCACAATGAAAAAAAACTCATCTTTTCTGTGATTGATAGTTGTCTAAGTTGGGCTAATCTTCAACCTACGTCAGCAGTTTTTGTTCAAAGCTTCATTAGAACAGATCCTAGGCACAACCCTCATTACAGAGGAGTAACAAATTGCCGGCCTAATTCATGATTGAACTGCAGTCTCTTTGATCCGTTTTTGTTCCCAAATGAGCATGAAGTAAAGCATGTACATGCTAGGGAAAATTATTACCCTCCCAACATTCCAGATGTCATCCATATGTTAGTAATTCACAAGGCTGCTGCTAAGGGGTTGCTGTTCAATAGACGTAAATGTTTTTTCCAATTTCGATAGGAGAGACACATAGAACCCTGGACAATAACAAGTTTGCATCACAAACTGTATGTCATGTGCAATGCAAATAGCGAAGTCTGGGTTATTTGTTGAAAAATTTTTGGGGGAGGGGGTTTACTGTTTTCCTATTTGTCATTCAGTGTTAAGATGGGAGCTGTAACAAAGCCATTAGTAGCTAATTGAAAAAAAAGCATCATGCTTCACCTCAGTAGGGGTTGACACAAGAAGGAGAGATGCAACAAACATAATTTTCATATCCTCAGCTGGGAAAATCAGGGCGTTGAATGGCTGAGTTGTTAGGCTAGCAGACATAAGACCAAGAGGTCATGGGGTCGAATCTTTGATTCCTGCAATTCATAGCAAGACGTTGTGTCCTTGAGAAAAGAACGACTTTCCTGACTCCACCCAGGCACCTGACTTTGGTAAGGGAGGTAAAAGGCAGTATAAGGAGAGGGATGGGCTCTGCCTTCCAGTACCATGCCCTAATAGACTGACCACTGACCATACAGCCTCAAAAGGTTATGGAGGGATATCTAGCACCAAGGACAGAGTAAGTCCATGTTACAACGATATCCATAGAAAGGTGTAAAAATGTTGACTTACTTGTTGAAGTACTGATTGTCGACCTTGACCTTGCTGAAGGCCTTGAAGTCGTCAGGCATGAGCATGACGGGGATGTTGATGTGGGACAGCTCCTGTATCTATGGCAACGGCAAAAACAACATTCTGTCAATAACGAAAATATTTACAGGTATCCTGCTCGGATTTGATCACATTTTGAATAAAAGTTGCTATTCTTTTGCTAATTTTGTAATGCCTTTTTTTTTCAGAGGAATTGTTTTGGGTGTGTTTGTATGTTTGTTTGCTTGTATGTTTATAATTAAAAACGAGCGAGTGGGAGGATTCCCTAACCACAGACCACAAAAGATCATACACAGGAGGTTAGCTCCCAGAATGTGGCCGAGAACAACTGCCTCTTGCCACAAAAGTACAAGCATTGTATGATGAAATATTAATTAAGCAAATTTCCCAACAGAGACCAGTAATATTGTTTTGACTGCTTATAATATTGATTGATCCAAATGCTTTATAAAAACTACCACATCTGATCTTTTGAAAATGTTCCCCCAAATTATATGTTAGTTCTATAAAAGTAGCTGTTATTCCTTAGTACACAGAGAAAAGCAGTTATTTCACACACTTCCCTGATTGCCCTCATATTGATTGTGCCCTGGGCTTTATCGGAATTGCCGCCTCAGAAGTGAGGGGGATCGTACAGTTGACATTGACAGATGACACACAGCATCGCATGGCACTTCCCTCATTAGGCAGGGTCAAATCATTATCCTGGATACCATCACCAACAGTGTCTAAAGCCATGTTGATTTGATTATACAGATGACATCCTCCGGAAACCCCACAACTGATGCGAGTGTACAAATAAAAATGTTTGGCAAAAAAAAAGTTGCCTTAATTATGAAATCTACATGGTCATGGAGGTTGAAGAAATAAACACACAGAGTATGGTATGGCGAATAATTAACTCTTCCTTTTCATTTTCTCACATTTTGCGATTTGAGGACATCGTTTACCAGTTACCTTTCACCCAGTGTTGACATCACCATATGACAATCCTCACTGGGTCAGTCTATTGAAGAAGACCAGAGTGACTAGTCAAAAGCTCTAGGTGAGAACACTCACTGAGGGTGAGTTCTTTGTGTTGGAACAAGCATTTTCACTTTAACAGATGAACTTTGGTGACACTGATGATGGAAGTATTGATATATTTTCTCCTGGGCTATAGTTGAGTTAATGATTCAATGTTTCTGGAACAAAGCCACAGGCCAAAAAAGGCTGGTGACAGCAGCCCACAAAAACTCTTCTGTATAGAGGACATCTGTGTACGCATTGATTTTGGCCTGTTTCCCAGAAAAAAGGGAATAAATGTTATGTTCCTTTCAATGGGTTCTCCAAATCCCACCAGCATATGCAGGTTAGTCAGGGCTCAAAATACTGGGTGCAAATTTTCTGTGGGTGCATTTTAGTAGGTTCGTATGTGAAAATGTCGTTCGTATGTGAAAATGTCGTTCGTATGTGAAAATGTCGTTCGTATGTGAAAATGTCCAATGTATAGTGGTATACAGCATATTCTAAACACTCAAGTGTCCAAATGATAAAATCATTGTTATAGTACTTTTCTTTAAAGAATGAAACAAAATTAGCTGCCTGTATTTCAAAACAAGACATTTATTAGTTCCACACACATCCAAAAGTCACCATCAATTCAACTTTCTGCGGCCTTATTGATTAATTACTGGCTCTGCATATTCTATACATTACAAGTACAACTGACTCAGAGGTCATAAAAGAATTGGTCCTCTTTGAAAATGATCATGACAAGCTCCAAAATCACCAGCAATTCTGAAGAAACAAAATCCATATCAGGTGCAGCATTTCTACCGCAACGTTGCAATAAATTATAGTCTACTTCAAGGCAAAGACCTGAAACAAGGCCACACTGACTTAATTTTATGGATGACATCCTCTGAAAACCTCCAAACTAGTGTGCGCGGGCAGGTATTGTGAATTTGCGGCAGTACTTAGCGACGTATACGACAAGCACGACGGCACATACTGGCTTTTTGTGGAATTTATGAATCGGCACTGTACATATGTACTGAGTTCTTGAGTCATGGAGCTTCGGTAGCCTGGGTGCCCGGCTCAGTATTGTCGCTAGCCACCATGGACAACCCTGGTCTATAGCCAGGCCAGAGCCTCGGTGGACGTGATCTTTTTTTTTTTGAGTAACAGGCAAAAATCAATGCACGCGCGGATGTCATCCATAAAATTAAGTCGGTGTGGCCTAAACAGAAGCGTAGGAGTCTTGATGCCAGCATAAAGCAATCGATACAGCCCTGGCACCAGACTGCTGAGGGTATTGTTGTATCACAGTGGAAATCAGATAGAGGGTTCCGCTGATATTGATTTGGGTCTACTTCATTATTCATCAACATGTCAAGGTCAAACACATGACCTTGATATGGCCAAAGGTGCAGTATATCAGAATACCTACCAAACATCACTCTTCACCCCCCAAAAAAACCCAAAACTTATTTCTGTGAAGAAAAAAAATCACACATTGTAGGGATCTAGAACTTGTGCAATATGTACTTTGGACTACTCCATTCTAAAAGCAGGGTGTAAAAAAGATTATAAACCCTTCTGCTAGTTATGTTTACTGAAGGAAAACAAACATATTGTTTTTGCTCAGTTTCTTCCTCTTCTTCTCCAACAAACAGTGACCTATGACCTGACCAATGACATGATTTGTTCACATCTGTCACCATGGTGACTGGTGTTGGGTTACATAATGCTGCAATTTCATGGTCTGCTCTGCTCCTGTCACCATATACTAGTACTAGTAGTACATGTATGTGAATGTGTTTGAGTAAGAATTAACAGAGCAGACCATGTCCGAAGGTAAACATTATGCATTTGCTTTGCAAATGTTACTTCTCTAGTATTATACATCTAAATTTCCAATCTATCTATTCATGTATGTATCAAACTGCTCTTGGTCTAATACATTTCTTTTAAATCCAAACTACCTCCTAATAACATTAAATATGGAAGATGCCACGAGAACAAAAAATATCATTAGGCCACACCAATTAAATTTGTTGGTTCACAGATTTGCCCGCTTCTGATTTGCAAAGAAAAACATTTTAGGCACTGAATAAACTAAAAAATGCTCATATTTAGGCCATTATAGGGTGCCGAGGTCTGTTTTTATTTTACTTTTTTTCGTCCTGTCGCTTCATTTTTTTTTTTTACAAAATCCGAGAACCAACAAATCAAATTGTTGTGGCTTTATCCACTCGAACATTACATTTCATGTCATCTAATGGACTTATACGAAGACGAAGTGACTACAAACACAAACTGACAGTAACATCTATGTTCTAGCCAAAATTCTCCGCCTACACAAGTTTGACACACATTAACATTTCCTACCGCTAATAAAACATGTCGTCCCGAGGGGAAGGAAAATGTCAAAGACGTTCCTGTCACCGTTAAAGTCATTGATCATGAGAGAGCCTAGGAGGTTGGTGCTTTGTAATGCAGGGTTCGAAATTCATTATTGGGAATAAGTGCAACTGTTACTGCACCCAACCTAAAAAAATCAGTTGCACAAAAATTTTTGGGGTGCACCATATAAGATGAAATAAGTAGAATGTCAGCAAAAACTAATTATGTTTCATTTCTAAAGAAAAGTACTATAACAATGATTTTACCATTTTTCTGACACTATGATATTAAGAATATGCTGCATAATACTATACATTTGATATCTTGCATACGTAAACCTACGGAAATATTTTGCTGCACTGGTGCACCCACAGAAAAAAATTGGTTGCACAGCTCCAAATTTGGGTGCACCCCAGTATTTTGAGCCCTATAATGGCTTCATGATCTAATGGTCTGTACAGTTGGAATGGGAGAAAGGACTTTGGGTCCAAGAAAATAACATAAATACGCTGACATCTTATATGACCTTCTTAGGTCTAACCCACACAAAGTAAAAATGCATCAATCAAATTTTGATGGGTTTGAGGGTTTTAAGGGGGACTTGACTCCCCAAAGATAGGAATTATATTGATTGATGCATGCTATGTATGCATATTTTATGGCACAAGTGTTGGGGAATGGATGATTTTGCATAGCTTTGTGGCAGACGGATTCTTGCCTTTGAGGGTAAAAGACAACATTGGGTTTGATAGATCTTAACCCCACATATGCATATCAACTAGACGGTTTGAAAACGACTCTTTCCATGCCTTTTCAAACTGTTCAGGTCAGAGTGTCCTGGGAACAAGTGTTCTTGTACCCAGGATATCAAGGGAAAGTGATAATGATATAGACGTATACAGTTACTTCTATCTATTAGGATTACAGATAACTGTACTTGTAATAAATATTACGAGGAATATTCCTGACATTTTCTCCTACTGGAAAGTATTTTCATGACTCTACAATATCGCATTATCTGAGAAAAAAAATGCCAATTTTTTTAACGTTGACATGAGAGATTTTTTTAGCCAGGACAACATGATTGCCACCTGCCCCACTTCACTTACCAAACAGGTAAACACAGACACTGTTTATCTTCCTTAGACTAAACAAGCCAAGAAGAATCCCATACAAAGTGGTATACAGAGACATGAAAACAACACATAATGTATATACAGATAGTCTCTTATTGCTGTCAGTTTCAAAAGAAGAAGTACTTACCAATAGTACTGTATATCAAACACAAGGTTTTTTTTACAAACTTAGGTCACAGTTTTTCCATCTATCAAATTGAATGCAGAGGTTTGTTAAAAAAAAAAGTTAAAAATTAATTGTTTGAATATTAACCCAGCCCTTTGTGTTAACTTCATGGCTCCTATCATAGCATTTGGGTGTATAATAGGATGCCTAGACCTGTTTTTATTTTTAATTTGAAAATTCAGGTAGCACACTGGGCTACCTAGGTTCAAAAATAGGTTGCCAAGTAAAATTTGGTTGCCCGGGGCAACTGGGCAACCAGGTATTTTGCACGCTAAAATGTATGACCTCCCATAGCGCTGTCTAGGTTGATCTATATTGAAGTACTTTTCAATTATGTGTAACAGATAGTACAGGCTGGGATGAGCAGCTCAGGTGTAATGATACCTCCCACTGCTGAGAGAACCCAGAAGGCTTACCAGGATGATAGCTCTAGCCTGGTATCTGTCTGACTCTATAGCTTCACTTCATTCCTCCCATCACTTCTATGCCAAAATGACTGGCACCTGTTAATACTGATAGAGAAGTGATTCCCAATCAAATATTCCCCTAAAATATTAAATATATAGCCGAGAGTTCTGATTTACTCCTCTTGACACAGTAAGGCCACACCGACTTAATTTTATGATGACATTCCACGCTCGTCCCCAGCGCCCGTGGAGAAGCCGTAGGTTATAGATCGTGGCTTAGCCCAGGCTATGGAAAATAAACTTTCTTTAATGCAAATCTGTCGTTTTTGTTTTCTTTGCGCTTTCTAAAGAGTTATGATAACCTACTCTACTCTGGCGGTATTGTCGTGCGCGCTTGCTAGTACGTAACGTTACACGGCGGCCATCTGAATACATGTACACTGCATTCTTTCTACTATCGGGACCTAAAACAAGACGCAAGATTCCTATTTTGGGGTATAAAATGCTGTCACAATGGTAATATATACCAAATGAAACGGACCTTTACAAAGTACCTCATTTGGTGACGCTATAGCTATGAGGGTGTACCGTTATCCCTCTACATTTGCCCAGAAGGGAGTTAGTCGCGGAAGGAACTTAGCCACGGAGGGAGTTTTGGCATTCTCCGCCCGCGCTACAAACTCTCGTCCCCAGGACAGTTCACTCTGCTACCCAGCATGCTTTGCGCAAAATGCGTTCTCGGCCCCAGGACACAAATACACGCTAATGCTTCCGCACTGTGTTGCTCTGGGGACCCCGCCGCGCGCCCAGATGTGGATAGCTAGCGGACGCTGCGGAGGAGCGTGGATGACATCCGCGCACACATTGATTTTCACCTGTTCTCAAAAAAAAAAATGGGGCTATCATAGGATGCCTAGGCCTGTTTCTTTTTTTTCCTCATTGCTTCATATTTTTCTTTAAAAAATCAGAGAACCAGCAAAATCAAATTGATGTCCCCTACTAGAAGATGTAAGGACCAAATATTTTAATGTAGCCAGGGTGAGTGAGTGAGTGGGAGCAATCCTTGGAACAAATCAGAGCTAGAATATAGGATGGATTCTAGGCTAGAAAGCACAGGAGGCTTTGAGAAACAACCTGCCTGAAGCAACATGGATATATAGGATATGTGAGCTCAGTCAGGCCACACAGACCTCATTTGATGGATGACATCTGTGCAAGCGTATAGATAGGCAACGTTACCTGACAATGCATATACCCTAGTAATATTCAAGTTGTCACGACAAGGGAGTTTTTTTAGCAGAAGACTAGAGAAGTAGTTAGTAGAACAAGTGATAGACCAATCAATATGCAAACTTATGCAAGATACATATTGTGTATACAATGTATTTTTAATATGAGTTGCCTATGTAATTGAATTATCTAACTGTAACTCTATAATTGTGTGGAACAAAATTTGCCAGTGAGCCATTATAGCTTTATTGTATTCGTCTTGTAGCAACAAGAAGGTGGCTTGATTCAAGGAATCTATCTTGCAAATACATATCATTACAGGCAATACAAATATTATTTAGCTGTCCAGAAAAAATTATTTGCAAATATATGATGACAGTTAATAAAATGGCATTATGAAATCACAACATATGACTATGAGCCCTGTCAACAGTACACATCAAATTGGAAGCATACCAGCAGCTATAAGAAATGGTGTTGACGTATGGAGAGATGGAGGTACAAAGTTTGAATACAGACCAGACTGATTATTATCTACAAAAGCAAACGTATTTAATGGCTGGCGCAGGGTTGGTATACATTCTGATAAGGTATTCAAAAGGTAAATGCTACTGTAACTACAGGGTAACTCCCCACCCCCCAAAAAGAAAAAAATGTCAGGAACAACTTTTCTGTTATCACCAGATAAAAAAACTACTACAAATTGTACCACCAATTTAATTATATCTTCACTCATGATTGGCCAACTGACTTCCCCCCCCCCTCCCCCCAAAAAAGGTTCCTGCTGGGTCTATGCCAGCTACTGGAATCTAACTTCCTGTGCATGACTTTTGTGGTCCGTGGTTAAGGAATTTCACCCAACGTACACCCTGCCACTCCACTGTATGAACACACAAGCAAACACAGATACACAGACAAACATACCCAGGTAAAATGTTAAAACATGATAAAAAGTTTTAGGCAAGAGCACACTGTAATTGTACCACAGCAATCCACAGTTTTGACACACCAAACAAGACAAGGATATATCGGCCTGACTCTTTATGAAAGGATCCTGTAATATTAGGAAGTGATGAATGCTGCTGCCATTTCCAACTGTCAGAAAACAGCTGACGTGTCCGCTCTATCTCTCCCCCATGACTGAGAATTCCAGCAGACTTGGGTGATGATAACCACATGTCCCACTGACATCCTGTACAGGGACTGCCCATGCCAGCGTACATCACAGCCAACATGACACATTGCGCTTCCACCTTGATCCGCGGGTGAAGCAACTATCGCACTCTTCCAGACGTTCCAAACTCTCATGACTACTTGCTTTCATGTCGGCTTGCTCTGTGTGTACTTTGAAGTGGAACAGCACAGGAAGCTATACTGGAGCTCGGGATTGCGGATGTGCCCGTTATGAATAGTCCAACTGTCTTTTCCCACCGAAAAGGACCCTTCAAAACCTTTTAATACCCCACTCGAGCCTACACTTCCTACTCATTATATACATGGAGCACATGAGATACCTAACAGCAGAACATTGGTGTCAATAAGTAACCTGCACAAAACACCTACCGTACTTTCACTTAGCAACCTGCAATTTGTGTTGGCAAAAACTGAAATTGGAATTTGGAGACACTACTGTAACAATCTTTAGTTCCTAAGAAAAATCATAGTATTTAAGAAACTTATGGTTGTTTTGATTTGCAATTGTGCATTTCTGTAAATATGGTATTCCAACTTGAATCCTGATGTACATTACATTGGACTAACACGGATCAAGCCATGGGTACATAGTACATTCACAGCCATTCCTGAACTACTGAAGAACATGCATTTTCATTGCTTCCGAGAAATCTGTCTGGGTTCTTCCAAAGTCAAAAATATGAGTTTAAACGGGGTCACTGGCAACTTTGGCATTTGGAATTCTACAGGATCATTCCTGACACCTTACACACTTGAGTATATCTGGTTTGCCAAAAGATCTGTGAGAATTTAGAGAAGATATGCATACGCACAACATGTCAATGTTTCAAGTAGTTCAAACAGGAAAGTATGGTACCGCATACTAGAAAGGACATCAGATGAACCTGTAGAGTAGAGAATGTAAATGGAGATGTTGTCTAAGTCTACTAGTATGGGTTACCAGTGGGCCTGTTGTGGATGCAGAGTATGGGCCCAGCCACATTAGGGAGCGGGCGGAAACTAGGGAGGATGACACCCAGGCTAGATGCAGAGGGCATACAAGTTCGAACCCTGCTCTGGCATGTGTAAAGGGTTGCATCAGAAAATAAACCGTTCTTTGGAGAGGACATTACGCTTTCAGTCCTGTGTATTGAGAAGTGTAGGGATGACCCTTCTAGAGATATTGCAGTGCAGGCTTATAGTATATACCTAGTCTCTTGTCATGATCATGATCATGACCAATGCATGACATATCAAAACAAATAAAATAAAAACAAATAAAATGCAATTTCAGTTCAAACTTCTTTCTGATGAGTACAATGACCACAGTTTCTGACATTCTTTTCCACTGACATCAGTCTGGGAGTCCAACCCCAACAAATCTGGAAGGGTATCTGGAAGCCAGGTACCCTAACCAGGGAACCACACATGTGCATTTAGAAAGTCTGTATCTGGCTTATATCAATTGTCAGTTCAATGTGTTAAATAAAATCTATATTGGTGCCTGACAAGGAATGATTCTTCTGATACCTACACACACACACAAAAAAATACATTGTACATTGACGATTAGGCATTATCAATAAATCTTTAAGGCAAGTTGCATGAATATGAGCCACAATATTCAAATCTAGTATTAGAAGGAAATGTGGCTTTGATTTAAAGATTGGATAACTTCAAATGAAAACCATGCATTAAAGCAAGAAACAATCTGCAATCTAGAACATTCTAACACAATCATTTTTTTTATTACAGAACAATTAGGGGGTGGATTAAATTATTCCATTTATCATCACAACATAATTCCACCCCTCAAATACCGAGAAAAATATTCTTGTACCTCAAATTATTATTAATTAATTATGGTATTTTTTTTACTCACAGGGAAGAACCAATTCATAGTTAGATCAATAGCTATTTCAGAATAGAGAATTTTGTCCCATTTGATTTGTAGTCTGGGTATAGTATTTGGGTGAGGCCACATACACACGTATGATGTCACCTGTTTGAAACGCTTACACAAAATCGAAATGCCAAGAATTTCCTGTGGGGAAGTAGCACAGAATACAACATACAAACAACACTTGGACAAGGAAAATTTATCACACATTTTTTTTATAATAAAGAGAAAGGAATACCATGATTAAATTTTCTGCGATCACACCGACTTTTTTTCTCGGGGGAAACGCCTCCGTTGACCGAAGAAAGATCGGATAGCGGTCTGCTCAAAATTAGTCACGGTCTGGGTAGCGGAATTCGCCACAGCGACAAAATACAATCAACGGCGTAATAGGCAAGGCTGGCTGCGTGCAGAATGAAGGATGAAGTGGTCTCTTACCGAGTGATTTACTCCCCACATAAGCACGGACAGGAGTGGCTCGTTTGCCCGGAACAGTTTCTTCTTCTGCCGCTTCGCTCGCAGATGTTTATTCTTCGTCGCCGTCGCCATTTTCAGCCGTGCCTCCTCGGCCTGGCAGCTGCAATCGAGAAAAGAAAAACTCCTCTAGCCTGCCTACCCTCGACTGGGGTTATTGCATGCCAATCTGGCGTAGGAATCGTAAATTTCTCAGCTTCCGCACGAAAATATCGATCACAGATTGATGTTTTTCCTCCATGACACAAAATGGCGGAAGTAAATTTTTCCCGACATGCACTACGCAGGTAGAAACCGCATCCGGTGAAAAGTATGACATCATCTGGAACTTACCATGTTTGTTCAGAGGGGGTATTTTTAACTTCTGTTGTTGTAACGTTTAACACATTTGTAGAGGTAGAGGTAGAAAATGGTCTTATATTATTGATTGACATATAAAGTCACAACTGTAAACGCCGGAATGATCATCACTCATGATTGTGGGCGTCAAAGGGAAGAAGAGAAGAGAAAATTTTGAATGATTCCCCTTTTTGCAGACATGGTACATCCCAATCAGCAGGTGCCACAAGCATGCATACAGCGTGGAAAAAGTCACGTACCGTTTGACAAGTGGCGAGCGCAGGGGCATGCTTGGGTGGAGTTTCATTTGGACGCATGAAAAAGTTACAAAAACTGTCAGTACACTAATCACGCTGCCCTCATAATCACAAGAATGATAAAAAGAACACGGTCAAAGTTTTGAAACTCGGAGCATTTATAATACCATGAAAAGAGTAAAAACAAAAAGTAGCGTTAGATAGCACAACATTCACACACTTTTTACAATCATCAAAAGGCCACAGCGTCCAGCATTGCAAACAGACGGTTTCAAACAAATCATTCAGAAAGTTGGTCAACAACTCTAGACAAATGATGATTCTAGCATGTTTGTTCTGTTAAATGTGTTCGTTCGCTGACGCAAATGACGTATGTTAAACAATTTGTTTTCCGTTTAGAGGAAAGAAATATCTTTAAAAGTGCAAAATAATCCACAGGAAAGGCATTTGTCGATTGTCTTATAAGGCCACAGCAAGTAATTTTATGGATGACATCAGCGCGCAAATTGATTTTCGCCTGATTTTGGAAAAAAAAAGAAGAAATTTCGTTGCCTTCTGACAGTGGTCAACATGCCGAAAATGGGCAAAGATGTCTGTTGCCATGCCGGAACGTGGATGGCAGGTAAATATGAAGACAGGAGAAAAGACAAGACTCTGTTTTTTTTTGTTTTGTCTTTTACTCTGATTCCTTTTATATGTGACGTTCACTCAATGAAAACCATTTGTACAATGCTTGAAAACTTCCATTTTTCAGTGACAAATGGATATTATAATAGTTGGCAGTAAACTTGGAACAATATAGTTAGCATTTCTTGTTACAGGGTTTATGATGTCAATATTTGAAAATGTAGGTACCTTGTTTTTTTTGGCCCCGCCCTGTTTTTTTTTCGTCCTACCACATTAGATTTGGAGACTGCGGAGGATGTCATCCATAAAATTTACATGCTGTGGCCTAATGTACGGACGATGCGTGTGGTAAATGTGCGTGTGTTTTCTTCCGTCCCCACCCAACCTTTATACTGGCTCGTTTCTATCTTTCATCAATTGATTAGACGTCTGCACGGCCAATTGACCTCAAAAGATTTGCTCGCCGGCTACAGCCTAATTTAATCTCCCAGGAGACAGCGATTATTTTTACTGCCTCGTCACAGGTGAGCCACCTGTCGCAAAAGACGTGCGTGTTAAGTGGTGCCACGACGATTTTATAACAGCTTGACAATCTGTGTCAGTCGTAAAAAATCATATCAATGAACTACTCTCCAAGCAGAGGTTTGGGTTTGGGCTTATTTTTGACATGTTTTTAGGCCTTTTACTGGTGTTAAGTTTTTGCACTGGAATTTTTTTTACGCCAACCCAACGTAACAAAAAATTCCAATGCAAAAAAAAAGAAACCTCGACAAAATAGCCTAAAAACTCGAAAAAATAAGCCAAAACCCAAACCTCTGTTTGTAGAGTATCAATGATGTATTGTGCGTTTGAATGTTCTTGCCATGCATTTTTTTAAAGAAACGGGGATATAAAATTAATGACCAGGTACGACGTAATAGCAGATCCCTAGACTTCGAACATTCACTGTCATACACGTTGTTTAGTCCTTTCTGGACAAACCTTCAGTTTTTATCAAAGAGAAGTCATGATCAGCATGCACTGATGTTGCCAGAACAGTCCGCAGCAGTTCCTAGCATTAAGGATTACAAGAATCTTACAAGGCTTCTTACCAGTTGATGGGCATCTTCCCCGCAGGCATGTTGTCAGACTCTGTGTTTTAAGTCACCTTCTGCGATCTGTGGTGGATCTATGACTATGGAGTAACTCCTATCTCATCTGGCGAACGGCATACATCGATCTGTGGTGAAGAAAAAAGTTATAAGAGAAATTCGTTGCAAAACGACCGGTCTTATGCGATGCAACTAGGCCGATCGCGAAAAGAAATATATGCGCTGCGGACGTCTTCAATCACTTATAGTTGCTCAAATGAATCCATAGTAACAAACAATTCATCAAATATTTGACACTAAAAGAAACAGTTACAGTCAAACCTGTACTAGCGGTCACCTTGGCATTGCGGTCACCCGGCCATAGCGGTCGGTTTTTGCCGGTCCCTTGAATTTTTCCCATTGACGTAAGCATTAAGAATCGCGTATATAGCGGTCACTGTTCAACGCGGTCAGCGGTCACCCCATTCCGGTCCCGCCGGCTGTCAACACCGCCGATAGCGGTCACGGCTGGCCGGCAGTTACCCGCTAAGCACCACGTACGTAACACCACCCGACCTCGGGCTACGGCCGTTAGGACGTTCAATCAAGCCTTGTGATAATTTTGTGGCCGCTACATTATTAAAATGTGAACTGAAATTAGACTCCAGATGTGTATGAAATAAAGGAAAACTTGATTTTGACACGAAATTTTTGCGGTCGCTCGTGTTGACGTCTTTGATATCTGAAACACCATGTCGTGCGTGCCGCGGTGCTTTCAGTGGACTCGGCGAAGATTGCGGCAATCATCCTTACAAAAAACTTACGAATATCCATATTTGATTTTTCGATTCCTTGAAAAGCATAAATATGTTGCCAACTTCCCCTTTTCACGGGCATAATTCAAGAAATTTGGGCTGAGAAAATGCGTTTCGTGATTTTTCAAAATGGCGCAGGCTGCAGCAACAATCAGGTCAATTGGGGTCATCGGAAGACTCCATTGGTTTGGAGGTAGATGTACCGACTTTTATTTAATTTTATAGCATCAAATGGCGTGATTACATTACAAAAATATTTGGAATACATTATTAAAACTAATTTCCATCGTAAACTTAAGTCTGTAGTGAATATTCTACAAAATATGTAAGCCTGAAAGGAGCACTATTTTGTTGACCACCACATTGGCATAATGGCAGAGGCAGACAACCCACGCCGGAAGAAACCCAAGCCGTAAACAAAGGAAAGTTTTCGCTACGTTTTCATGTTCAAAAATAACCAAAAAACGGAAAATAAACGGCAACAGATGAACAATTATTTTGCTGTTAACTAAATGGACAGCATCTTGGTACAAAAAATCTTGTTTACATGGTTGGAATTCGTTGTGGCGATGTCGGTCATGCGAAGCACTCACCAAAGAACAAAAACATGGCGATGTCATAATTTCTCTTCCACTTTTCGACTTACGGTACTAGTAACGTGGCGATTGCGGAGAAACGATGGCAAAAGCGGAAAGACAGACGTCGAACTTATTCCACAAGGTGGATGTGATTCAACTGACAGCGAGTGAGAAGGAGATTAAAGGAGTTTGCAGTCGGAAGAAACATGGCTTGGAGTCGACAGAAACTTTGTTGCTTGATTCGCTTTCAATATTTTTGTAGGTAACATCGATGTTACACGTACACAAGAACAGTAAATGGCAACCAGTGATTTTGTATATTTTAGTGGGAAGGTTTCATAGTCCCAGTAGATCAACTGAGTATCATGTCGAGTGCATGCAGTTTTGATATATAATTTTTTTTCAAGCCCACAACTAAAGCAAAAGAACAACAATTGAATTATAACATGTAATGTTACATTTGAAAAGAGACTTACCTGTGCAATGAATGTTTTCATATGTTTGAGAATAAAGACATAAATACATCTTTGTTCAATGGTACTGAAAGCATGTGTCACTTGGGGGGGGGGGGCAACTAACCGCCATTTCTCTATAGTGGTCACCTGGCCATAGTGGTCAATTTTGGCCAGTCCCTTGAGTGACCACTATAGACAGGTTTGACTGTACATTCAACTTGAGATCCAATGTTGACGTGTTCTACATGAAAGGTAATAAAATCGTACAACCCGGCTACTCAGGGAAACCCTTATCAACAAGCGTCACCCGGCCAACGAAAATCACTCCTACTGAAATGATGAGAGTCAAACCGGGACACGTCGGCGCCTGTTTGGCGCAAGGTGCATTTAAGGAACCGAACCTGAGGTTCCTTGATACCTCTCTGCTTTCTCTAGATATTCGTATCATTCGCACCAGACTGTTGCTAGCTATAGTCTTTATGAGGCAGAACACAAGATTCGAAAGCCTAATTTGTTGCGTAACTATGTCAAGCCCTTGACCTGAAATGGCCCTTGCTTGGTCTGCCGCAAAGGACGACGGGAGATTAATAACGACTTTTTCCCTTTTGGCAATGTTCGAACTGACGGTAATGTATCAAATTGAGGTCGGCGGTTATTCCGGGTTTTCATATCCCCAAGTACCGGGGAGGGTGGGTAGTTGATGGAGTCGGTGATGAGGTCGACTTAAAGGGCGAGATTTTGTCACTTATTCAAATGTCTTCATCAGGAAAATTGATCAGAAACAGGACCTGGGGAGGGTGGGGTGGTTCAGTCCCCCCTGTTCATCAGAACAAGACTACTTCCTGAGAGGGGTGAAAGAGGCTATTTACATCAGGGCCCATCACCCTTCTCTCTACCAGGACGGAGGCTGACATCGTCTACCAGATACCTTTGACGCAGTGTTGGCGTCACACGACACGTGATAAGCCACGTGACAAGCCTTTAATGCTGGATCAGTCTGCTGAGGAAGACCAGAGTGACTGATCGAAAGATCTAGGCATGGAGGTAGAAAAACTTAACTCCATGATCTGGGTGAGAGGACTTAATTGTGTTGGATCTAAAGTTTTAACTTTAAACGGGTAGTTGACTTGTTCTGGCGGTGTCCCGGCTTCCGCGCTCCCGGCTGTGTCAGTAGGTCCGGCCGGTGACGGATTGGTGCGGGCCACGGGGTTAGCTCTGTACCGGAGACGTATTAGCGAGGCCGTGGGGCTACATCAAGTTGATTAAATTGTACACAACGTTCATAGATCTCTCTGTGCGAGAATACAGCATTGATCACAACTTTGAGCGGATACACAATCTCCAAGGAGAGTTTTTGGTGGCTACAAGACAGTGTTAAATTCACCAGACGGCTACCATTTGCCACCAGGCGGTAAAAGTAACACAAGTACAAAAAAAACTACGATAAAAACGACTAAAACACGTCAAAATAAGCCGAAGTCTTTAGAAACTGGAGCGTAGCAGTTACACATTGCACACATGCGTGTCACTAGATCTTCTTTTGGACGTATTTCAATGTTTTATCATCAAGAGTATCAGGGATTTGTTTCACATCATTTGGTCCTTGCTTCAGAGAGAGTGCCCGGCAGCTAATCTAGAAGCAACAAGCTGATAGATGATAAGACGGACTTTTGTAGCTTTTCAAGTCTTACTAATGCAATGGTAAAATATTCATCAGTCCACCAGTAATTTATGTAGAGTAGACTGCTGCTAGAACAAGGTCGATAATCTAGAGTATGGATATCTACTAGTATTTGTTCTGCAGTAGTGTTATTTACGAAAGAAAATTGTTTTTACGGAAAAGATGTTTCTTGTTTGCATCCATCTGAACTGTCAATGAAAATCATGGCTACATTAACGTTAGATGTTATGAGTTTTTTATGAACTCCAATCACCAAACATCGCGAAGCCACAGTTGTATTAACAGTGCTCCTTGTTAACGTTGTTTGCTTGATTCTTGTTTATAGTCACTGAAAAACTTAAATTTGTCCGCTTTGCACTGAGGTCATGAGGAAGAAGATATGGTAAAAAAATAGAAAGGTAGACATTACATTTAAAGTCCTAATGACTTTAAATACTTATATATCCTGTATTACAGTAGTTAAAGTCAGTCTTGTCATCTAAGGTACGCCTCACATGGTATGGACATGGAGCGGCCTAATTGAGAAGAAGGATGAAGAGGCAATAACATGACTCATAGACCTGAACTTGCCATCATTAGTGCTGAAGCCCACACAGGCGAAATACTAAACACGTTTTCAGAGCTCCTCCATGCCTCCCTAGCTACTTCCGAAATGCGTTTTTGTTAGACTCAGGGGCCAACGAAGCGAATAGAACTCTGAACGCGAGTCTGGTTGAATACACTCCCGAGCTTCAGAAGTTGAAGCCCTCGCCATCAGAACTAACAAGGTGAACTAGCCATAATTGCGTAAAGAGATCGAAAGGAGACCTTGCGTTGATGAAACAAGAATCGGGTTCAGCTAACAAGCCCAAACCGGTACTGTGGAGAATTAAAGCAGGCTGTAACAAACGAGCCAAAGGCCTGATTAGCTTCCCTAATGTTAGGAAGTTTTTTCTGATCGAGCCAACTAGTTTAGGATCTCCAGTTACACAGTACGAGCGACAATGAGCGAAGGATGTCGTTATTGATACAAAGAAATGAAAGACGATTTCAACAGTAAACAAATTTCTATGGAGGGTTGTACAGTGTTGTCATCACATGTACAGGCCAGCTGGGAATACTGTAGGACGTTACTGGATATAAAGTCTATAAAAAAGGCTAATGGTAGATTTACCTCCAAGCACACGCAAAAGCACACAAGAGCACACACACACCCGATTCACACACACACGCGCGCGCGCGCGCGCAAAAGCACACAAACACACACACACACACACACACACACACACACACACACACATCACACACACACACACACACACACACACACACACACACACACACACAAACACACGCACTCGCACTCCCATTCTTCCCCCTCTCACAAACACAAACACTCAATCATCATTATCCACCCCCTCCATATCTTATCACTAAGTAACCTTGACCGACAGACGGTTCACTCTTCGACCCATTCTTTATCAACAGAAGTACGCTGCTATAACATTTGACCTTCCCAGTATCCGGCCTCACGCTCGCGCTAATGATCAGACCTCAGCACTAGACACAGAAACAATCATGACCAGACAGACACAGACACAATTTGTCTGCTACAAGCAGGGAGGCATGTCTAGAATACAT